TGCCATCCAACCATCTCACCCTCCATCGTCCCCTTCTCCTTCTGCCCCTAATCCCTTCCAGAGGGTCTTTTCCAGTGAGTCAACTCTTTCGCATGAGGTGGCGAAAGTATTGGAGTTTCAGCTTCAGCATCAGTCCTTCCAATGAACACCCAGGACTGATCTCCTTGCAGTCCAAGGGACTCTCAGGAGTCTTCTCCAACCCCACAGTTCAAAAGCATCAATTCTTCAGCACTCAGCTTTCTTTACCATCCAACTCTCACATCCATACATGACTACTGGAAAAACCACAGCCTTGACTAGATGGACCTTTGTTGGCAAAGTAATGTCTCTGCTTTTTAATATGCTATCTAGGTTGGTCATAACTTTCCTTCCAAGGAGTAAGCGTCTTTTAATTTCATGGCTGCAGTCACCATCTGCAGTGATTTTGGAGCCCAAAAAAATAAAGTCTGACACTGTTTCCACTGTTTCCCCATCTATTTCCCATGAAGTGATGGGACCAGATGCCATGATCTTAGTTTTCTGAATGTTGAGCTTTAAGCCAACTTTTTCACTCTCCTCTTTCACTTTCATCAAGAGGCTCTTTAGTTCTTCTTCACTTTCTGCCATAAGGGTGGTGTCATCTGCATATCTGAGGTTATTGATATTTCTCCCGGCAATCTTGATTCCAGCTTGTGCTTCTTCCAGCCCAGCGTTTCTCATGATGTACTCTGCATATAAGTTAAATAAGCAGGGTGACAATATACAGCCTTGACGTACTCCTTTTCCTATTTGGAACCAGTCTGTTGTTCCATGTCCAGTTCTAACTGTTGCTTCCTGACCTGCATACAGGTTTCTCAAGAGGCAGGTCAGGTGGTCTGGTATTCCCATCTCTTTCAGAATTTTCCACAGTTTATTGTGATCCACACAGTCAAAGGCTTTGGCATAGTCAATAAAGCAGAAATAGATGTTTTTCTGGAACTCTCTTGCTTTTTCGATGATCCAGCAGATATTGGCAATTTGATCTCTGGTTCCTCTGCCTTTTCTAAAACCAACTTGAACATCTGGAAGTTCTCAGTTCACGTATTGCTGAAGCCTGGCTTGGAGAATTTTGAGCATTACCTTACTAGTGGGTGAGATAAGTGCAATTTATCAGTAAGGATGCATTTATTTTTAAGGTACCATAATATTCAGCTCTAACCGGCTTAAACAAAAAGATCACTTCCCTAATTCTTGGGCTTAGAGGTAGGACAGTAAGAATGTTTACTTAATCCAAAGGCTCTGGACTTCCTTAGCTCTCTAATCCCCCTCATATTTATTTCAAGCTCAGACGTGTATGAAGATACCTACACCAGACATGGAATTTACATCCATGCAGGACAATATCCAGAAAATATCTTTTCCAAGACACCCTTAGCTAAGTCTCTCTTGAGATTTAATGACCTTTCATGAACCAACTGAAAGGGGGATTGGAATTGATTTGGTTGACATAAACATTAAAGCCCATCCCTGTTGGCATTAAACTCCAGCTTACAAAAATGGGCAGTTTGAGTAATTCTTTTATCTAGTCCTCTTCTACCTAGCTGAACTTAAAGATCTGAGTATCAACTGATAATCTAGGAGAAAAAGACTATTAACATAGCAGTGGGTTAAATTTCTGTTATATATCTACATCCATACAATTTTCTATAATTTATACCAAAACTTTTAAACTGTTATTCCTATAAATTATTTGGTAATTTGGACCATAAAGAAGGCTGAGTGGAGAAGTATTGATGCTTTTGAACTGTGGTGCTGAAGAAGACACTTCAGAGTCCTTCGGACTGCAAGATCAAACCAGTCAATCCTAAAGAAAATCAACCCTGAATATTCATTGGAAGGACTGATGCTGAAGCTGAAGCTCCAATACTTTGGCCACCTGATGGGAAGAGCTGACTCATTAGAAAGGACCCTGATGCTGGGAAAGGTTGAAAGCACAAGGGGAAGAGGGCAGCAGAGGATGAGATGGTTGGATGGTATCATCAACTCTAAGGACATGAGTTTGAGCAAACTCCAGGAGACAATGAAGGACAGGGAAGACTGGTGTGCTGCAGTCCATGGTGTCATGAAGAGTCAAACACAACTGAGCGACTAAACAACAGAATTCTTTCTTAGGACTATGCATCATCCCATTTGTTTAATAAGAAAGTCTGTACCTCTGTAGGGCTTATAATCTTCATTTAAGACAATAGTATTTTCAATTTTTCATAAATCAATTTTCTCTGAGTATATGAATATAAATTGTCACACTAATGGGACAGACAAGGTTATATTCTAGCTCTGGGATCCAAACCTAATAATGTCCTATGTTTGTCATCATTTAATCACTAAATTGTGTCCGACTGTTTATGACCCCATGTATTAATAGCTCACCAGGCTCCTCTGTCTATAGGATTTCCCAAGAAGATACCGGAATGGGTTGCCATTTCCTTCTCCAAAGGATCTTCTGGACCCAGGGGTCAAACCTGTGTCTCCTACACTGGCAGGTGGATACTTCACCACTGAGCCACAAGGGAAACCCAACAATAAAGTTCTAAGGTTCTCCCTAGAAGTTTCAGTTCAGTTCAGTCGCTCAGTCGTGTCTGACTCTTTGCAACCCCATGGACTGCAGCACGCCAGGCCTCCCTGTCCATCACCAACTCCNCTGAACACCACTACCACTCCCCCAAAAGCCTCAGAACCCCCTAAGTGGGTGATATCCTCACTGATATAAGAGAGAATGATGCTCTTCCCCACTATGCCCTACTTCATGCTAATGATATTGACTGTACCCCAGAGTCTTACATAATCCCAGGTTAAAAACAACTCAAAATGGTGACATTCCCATCATTAGGGTCAAGCACAAGGTCAAGGGACAAGAAACCTAGTTCCAGAGAGAGATACCTTGCACTCTTCTCCAACTTCAGGCTCCCAAACTCTCATGCAGATGTTTATTCAAATAACTGTTAAGGTCTCCCCCTGTAGTGGTCAGACCTGCCCAGGCATTTCTGAATTGCTACAGTGGACACTGAGGGACACTTCCCTCATAGCTTCCCTCAAAGCTCAGGGACGCTTTCCTCATAGCTCAGTCAGTAAAGAATCTGCATGCAACACAGGAGACCCGGGTTCAATTCCTGGGTCGGGAAGATGCCCTGAAGAAGGAAATGGCAACCCACTCCAATATTCTTGCCTGGAGAATCCCATGACAGAGGAGCCTAGCAGGCTACAATCCATGGAGTTGCAGAGTCAGACATGACTTAGTGATAAACCACCACAATGGACACAATACGGACTCAAGTCATAGTTTCCTCTAAAGGCTGTTTCTTACAAGAAAACTTGTTTACACTAAAGTAATCTTCCATGTTTGTATATCATATATTAATAAAAAATATTTTAACTAAATTATTTATTCTAGAAATCTGCAATGTGCCATTAGTTCCTACATGATCTAATAGGAACTCTTTAGTCATAAGAGGACATAGTGAACCATTTCTTTCAAGACAAGGGAGTCTGTCATGAAATGAACAGAACTTGTTTATTAACTATATCCCCTGTGCTGTCCACTATATTCTTAAAACTTATTTATTTTATGCTTATTAGTTTGTACCTTTTAAATCCTTTCACCTATTTTGCCCTCTCCCCACCCATTCCCCTCCAATAATCACAAATTTGTTCTCTGTGGGTCCGCTTCTGTTTTGTTACATCTGTCCATTTGTATTATTTTCCTTAGATTCCACCCATAAGTGAAAATATATGGTATTTGTCTTTCTCTGTCTTATTTGACTAAGCATAATATGCTCCAGATAATTTATATATAAATATATAAATGTACATATATTATAAATTTATATATTTATAAATATATATATATTTGTATATAATGTGTATATTATATATATACATATATGTAAAATCCTGTGTTACAAAGAAAAAAAACATCTTTTCAGCTCATATCAGAAACTTAAGTATTCATCACATATTAGGTCACAAAAAAAGAGGAAAATAAGAACACACACACATCCACATGTATGTATATATATATATGAGTATGTGTGTATATATCTGTGGATATATATTTATGTATGTGTGTTTATATAAACACACACAATATAGTTAATCATGCTATTTTTCTTCAATAGTTGAAAATTGTTAAGAAAAATTTTAATATTAATTGCAGTAATGACAAAAAAAAAAATTTAAAAAAAATAAATAAATAAAATTTGTATAGATACCCTGACCACATCAAATCAAACATGAATTATGCAAATGTCATATCTTATCTTCATTTTGGCATGTTCCTAGAAACTTACCTGGGAGCCAAATAAATAAGTAAACAAAATTTTATCATCACAGGTAGGGTCAAGGCAAGGTAACAGAACAAAAGAGAGAATCATGACAATTAAACATATCTCAAACACATTTTTAGAAACTACAAAAATTTTCTTAATATGTGTTTTAGACTATCATAAAAATTTTTAGATAAGTATATAGTTATTGAGCAATAGTTTTTATTTTTTATTTTAGAGATCAAANAGTTATTGAGCAATAGTTTTTATTTTTTATTTTAGAGATCAAACTTTATTAGAATTTGACTCAACAACTAACTTCTTATATTCTAGTTTAGTGAACAAATGTAAAATGAGTCAAGGAAGAGTCAAATCAAGCCTCATTTTACCAGTTATCCAAAAGCTTTACATCGGAAATACAAACTAACCTTACTAAACAATAAAAACTACAAAAATTTTCAAGTTCCACTAAATGAATTTTAAATAAATGTATACTGAAACGTAAATAATTTATCAGTATAGCATAACACTGTCTAGAAATTAATACCAGATAAACCTATGCTTCTGAACATCAGTTTAATGCCTTTATTAACGTGTAGCCCAGGGTGAAAAAATTTTTGTTTGAATTGTTCTTGAAATCAAAACTGACACAATTAGGTTTGTCCAAGTGATGTTGATAAGGTAGTGAGTAATAAAGTAGACCCACTTTATTAAACTGACCTCATTAACTTGTTTTTTGTCCAGATGGAACACTTGACCAGAACTTGTAGAGGCAATTTCTTCATAGACTCTGTATCCAATATGGCTTCTGTCATCACAATCTCCAGTAAGCACAAATACCACCTACAGTTTTGGAAAAAAAAGAAGACAATTTAAAGCATTTGGGGAAATCATCATATGGTTATTGAGCACTCGCTGTATATTAACATACTGCCAGGCAAGTGGGAGACATGTGTATGTATGTGTGTGTGTATGTATCTTCCTGATTCATGCAATTTATAGGTGATCTTGAAGTTAACCTTACAAAAGAGGTAAAGTTTACTTTGTCATTTTTGAATCAAAGCCTGGAAATCTGACTTGTTTTGGCCATAAGCACAAGGCAAAATGCACACTCTACTGGTTCCAAACTGACACTCAAACTGCTGCTGCTTGCTGCTGCTTGAGTCGACTCTGTGCGACCCCATAGACGGTAGCCCACCAGGCTCCCCCATCCCTGGGATTCTCCAGGCAAGAATAGTGGAGTGGGTTGCCATTTCCTCCTCCAATGAATAAAAGTGAAAAGTGAAAGTGAAGTCGCTCAGTCGTTTCCAACTCGTAGTGACACCATGGACTGCAGCCCACCAGGCTCCTCCATCCATGGGATTTTCCAGGCAAGAGTACTGGAGTGGGGTGCCATTGCCTTGTGTATGTCCACTTGATCTCTTAGTGTTTCTGCCTTGGTCATGACAAGATTATGCCTAAACTGGATTACTGGTCTCAGAAAGAGGTGGAGAAACTTGCAAGGAAAAGCCAAGTCACCCAGAGATCAGCTGAGATAAGCCAAAACCAAACTATGCCTAGATACACAAGTGAGCAACCAGAGCCTAGGGCAACTGAGTCCGACAAACATGTGAGAAATACATGACTATTGTTTTAAGTCACTGAGAGTTAGAACAGCTTGTTACTCAGCAAGGGCTAACTGATACAATGAGTAATTGACTCAAACAAGATTTCACATAGGAGGTGACACTGGAAATAAAGGCTTTTTCTGTTAGGGCTATGCTTTTGTCAGTTATACGGATAAGATGATAACAAACATCTTAATTAAACCGTAATCATTTCTTTTCCATATTGTGAAACAGTGCATTTACATGCTATGTACAAATATCACATATCCATTTACATTAAATGACACATACATATATACTGGGGCCCTTATAAATGGATCCATAATTGTAGTTATTGACATTTGCCACACATGGCATAGTGAGAGTGGAGGCAATCTCTTACATGCTGTATTTCTTACAGCTGCGTTCAGATGGAAAATTGGGGGGTGGGGGGTTGACCCCTACTCACCTGTGACTGTTTCTGTTGGATAAGCTGCAGCACCTCATGAGCGAGTCGATAATCCTTGGATCGCGCATCAGTGAAAACATAGATGAAAGACCCAGGAAGAGAAATTTCCAAGGCAATTTTTATAGCTCCGATACTCATTTCTGGACAGTCGCCACCACCCTGTTGAGAAACAGTGAGAAAAATCCTATTATTTCACTAGCAGAAAAGAGAGAGTTATGACAAATTGCCTTAGAAGCTCAAGAACCAAGAAAGTTCTCTTCATTTCTATTTTCTGTCCATTTGCCACTGGATTAACCACTTTGGTTACAAGGAGATGTCATTAAATGACACATACATATATACTGGGGCCCTTATAAATGGATCCGTAATTGTAGTTATTGACATTTGCCACACATGGCATAGTGAGAGTGGAGGCAATCTCTTACATGCTGTATTTCTTACAGCTGCGTTCAGATGGAAAATTGGGGGGTGGGGGGTTGACCCCTACTCACCTGTGACTGTTTCTGTTGGATAAGCTGCAGCACCTCATGAGCGAGTCGATAATCCTTGGATCGCGCATCAGTGAAAACATAGATGAAAGACCCAGGAAGAGAAATTTCCAAGGCAATTTTTATAGCTCCGATACTCATTTCTGGACAGTCGCCACCACCCTGTTGAGAAACGGTGAGAAGAATCCTATTATTTCACTAGCAGAAAAGGGAGAGTTATGACAAATTGCCTTAGAAGCTCAAGAACCAAGAAAGTTCTCTTCATTTCTATTTTCTGTCCATTTGCCACTGGATTAACCACTTTGGTTACAAGGAGATGAAAAAGACATAAAGTGATGTGGAGACAAAAAAAAAAAAACCACCTATATTTATGGATAAATAAAAAATTCACCCCAGATACACAAAATAATAGAAATTTTTATATACTTTGTAATTAAATATTGATCCACTCCCATTCTCATACATGACTATTTCATACATCTCCTCTTCTCTTATTCTGACTCTTATTTGATGACCTTCCCTCTATTGTACTGGGAAGACAGAAGCAATCAATACAGAATTTCAATAAACTCCCACTCCAATACCTATTAACCTACAGTAATAGTAGCCACATGCCCTGCCTTCATGGTGAAGGAATCATTTCACTCACAGCTAAGGCTAACTTCTCATCTGTGCCTAATCAAGGATCTAGTTCCTGTGACCATCCCTTCTCTCCATTCCATTGTCAAAATTTTTCTTTTTACTGGATCATTTTCACCAGCAAACAAACAGACTGGTTTATCTCCTATACCCCAAGTTTCTGCTCTGATGTGACCAATCAGAGAAAACCTCCATGACCACCTTATGTAAAGCACAGCCTCTTTGTAGCTCTTTTCACACTGCTTCATTTTTACTACTAACACATAATCTCTGTGTTTTATCTGCTATTGTATTAAGCTCGAAATAGGCCTCCCAGATGGTTCTGGCAGTAAAGAATCCACCTGTCGATACTGAAGATGGAAGAGACGCGGGTTCAAACTCAGGGTCAGTAAGACCCCATGAAGAGGGCATGGCAACCTATTCCAGCATTCTTGCCTGGAAAATCCTATAGACAGAGAAGACTGACTGGCTATTGCCCATGGGGTTGCAAATATTCAGACTCAACTGAGCACACACTACTACTAGGCTCAATATATCATCCTAAACAAAAACAGACCTCGCCCTAAGAGGAATTCCTGCCACATATATTTCCTTCAAGCACATATGAATTTAAAGATAGAACTCTAAGCATGTTGTGTTTACAGTGTTAGACATTATATTCTAAATTTAGGACTATATCCTACTTACGCTATCATGTCATCAATGTTTTTTTCAAAATCACAGCTTTTAATGACTGTGAAATATTCTGTCTACATCCCATAATTTAGTCAGGCATTTCTCTACTGCTGAAAATTAACGTTCTTTCAAATCTTCCTCTATTTTAAAGATATAAATACAAATCTATCGTAGTATGATTATATCTATAATATATATTATATATTGTAGTCATTTTCCTCATGTTTCCTTAGCAGATATCAATAACTACAGGGCCAAGGAAATGAACTTTTAACCAGTATGTTTTGAGCAATGAGTAAGTGCTTAAACATCCTGCTAGGATTCGGGCACACAAAGATGAAGAAGCCAAAGCATCTTGCACTTAAGCAGCTCACGCCTACAAAAGGCAATCAAAGAAACAGCAGGGAAGCTTGGGAACATTTTGGGGTGGGAGGGCTTGTGAATCCACAGTCCATCAGAACCCAATAACAGTGAGTTCTTTCTCAAAATGAAAAGAATTACCTATAAGGTTTTATTCTAAACTCTGGAAATTCTATTTGATCCTCCTACTGTGGCTTTCCCTAGATTCCAAACAGTCTGTAATTTTGATACAGATACCCTGAGCACCAGAAGTCTCATCAGGGTCATACAAAACCAAGCATTAGAATTGTTTACCGTTTAGTCTGGACCACCTGAAGAATCTTTTCTTACACTGGATCCCACTCAATGCTTTTAGCTTTCAAACATCATCGATGGAATGAGTTGGAACCAAGCACCAACTGTTACAAATTACTTCTGAAGCGGAGACACATTTTAAAATGTCACACATCAAAAACCACATCATTAAATAGTAGGGGGCTGGACGCTGTAGTGACTTTCGAGAAGATAACAGCTATCAACTCCCAGAAATTTTATTGTGTTAGCAGGTCCTTCTATTTTTGCAGTGTTTCCTATCCTCTGTTCCTGATAATGCATTTTCACAGCATCTAATTTAACAGGTGATACTGTTCTCAAAAACTTGTATACATGTATCCTCAGACTGTACCTATCTCCCAAATTTCAATTTTCTGTTTACAATTGCTTTTTGGATGTCTACTTCTATATGTTTTACAGGGATCTACAATTCAGTGCATCTACTATGGAACTCATTATATTTTCCTCAACTATACCGTTCCTATTTTGGGTACTGCCTGCCTAGAGGTTTAGTTTAAATCCTGAGTCACCTCTGACCCCTCCCCCGCCTTCCTTCAGCTAATCAGTGGCCAAACCATTTTCCTTCTACATCCATTATGAATTTGTCCCCTCCCTTCCCCTTTACTTCCTACAATTCACTCTTCTTATCATTAATTGTATTACAAGTATAGCCTCCTATCTAATCTTCTGCTCTTCCGACCACCAAACTTCATATTTCCTGAAGTAAAGAGCTGCCTAGGATCACATTCCTACCAAAATCTTTCATTAACTGCTGTGTTGGATCAAATTCTCTCTCTAGCTTGCTATCTCCTGATGTTCCCTCTTCAAAAACTGTTTCCTTGGGAACTAGACTTACCATGATAATCATTATGAAATATAGAGAAATATTAAATCACTATATTTTGTAATAGGAATTATGTGGTAGATCAATTATATTTCAGAAACAAATGAACTTATAGAAAAAGAAATCAGATTGTGGCTACTAGAGGCGGGGGGAGGGGGAACATAATGAAGGTAGTCAAAAGGTAATTTGTAACTACCTTGCAGTTATAAGTAAAACAAGTACTCAGAATGTAAGGTACAACATGGTAAATATAATCAACAATGTTATATATGAAGGTTGTTGAGAGTAAACTTAGTTCTCATCACAAGGGAAAACATTTTTTAATTTCTCTGCTTTTACATCTCTTTGTGACCTTTGCACAAAGAAATATAAAACTAGAGATATCTCTCTGGTTTTGTATCTCTTTGCAACCCCATGGTGGGCAGCCTACCAGGCTCTTCTGTCCATGGAATTCTCCAGGCGAGAATACTGGAGTGAGGCTCTTCTGTCCATGGAATTCTCCAGGCGAGAATACTGGAGTGAATTGCCATTCCCTTCTCCAGGGATGGAACCCAGGTCTCCTGCATTGCAGGCAGATTCTTTACCACTGAGTCACCAGGGGAGCCCCTATACAGTGCTGTGTGTCATAATAATTATACTTCAATAAAAGTGGAGGAAAAAAATTGCTTCTTTCAATCCATTTTCTATGCTTTAATTATGTCCCTTGCTTCACACCTTAATTCCTTTAGTATTTTCATTTAAATACCCTTTCTACTGTTCTACCTCAACCATCAAACATTCCTCACCAATGTATGCATGTCTAAAATCTCCCATTTTCCATAAGCTCTTTGATGGTAGGAATGGTGTGCTAAATCCTGAGTCCTCAGATCATAGCATTTGCTGACATACAGTAATTGCTGAGTAAATATTTGTCAGATTGAACTACTTTCCTTCCAAGTTCAATATAATATGCCTTCCTCTCTTGAAAGTGTTCTCTTTTCTCCCATTCAGATGTACTTCCTCACTCACTCTTCAGATGGACTCTAATTTGATTTCTCCCTTAATAAAGTGTAACACACTTTCCGAGGCATAACAGTTATTGGGGGGAGGGATTATTGCATATAGCATATGCCCTTGAATGAGCATTTGTGTACTAGGAAAATGGGAAATAGCTACTGGGCACATTGGTAACTTTAGTATGTTGACTAGGAATAATTTATACTTGTAGCCAACTTTGCATATCGGTAATGAATATCGTGGACCGCTCAAAAAGTTATTAGATTCCTATTGTATTTTCAGGCTTCCCTGATAGTTCAGTTGGTAAAGAATCTGCCTGTAATGCAGGAGACCCCGGTTCAATTCCTGGGTCAGGAAGATCCGCTGGAAAAGAGATAAGCTACCCACTTCAATATTCTTGGGTGTCCCCTGTGGCTCAACTGGTAAAGAATCCATCTGCAATGCAGGAGACCTGGGTTTGATCCCTGGGTTGGGAAGATCCCCTGGAGAAAGGAATGGCTACCCACTCCAGTATTCTGACCTGGAGAATTCCATGGACTGTATAGTCCATGGGGTCGCAAAGAGTCAGACATGACTGAACGACTTTCACTTTCATTGTATTTTCACAAGCTTAAACAAAAAGAAAAAAGAAAAATTTCTCACTTGTACTAGATACTGTGCACCTGAGTGTAAATCACTATATAAATTATCCATTTCACAGCATCTGTTAAGTGGCCAAGTACGCAACAAAGCTGTATGATAAATAACTCTATTAGAGATGAATTTAATTTTTTTTTTTTTTTTTGCCGTCATCTAGTATCAAGGGCCTAGGAGAAGTCATCTGTTGGTGGGCCAAAAATCAGAATAGCTAAGTCATCTCCAGAGACACATACTACGAATGGCAAGAATGATGAAAATGCTGTCCAGTTACTGAGTGAGGAACAATCTCTGAGCCACCTGACTTGCATTCAAATTTATCCTAAGAGGACCTCAGGATGTTCATTCCTTAGCATCATCCAGGAGTAGACTCTAGAGACTACTAGAATGTTTGGAAGTTTGCCTATCTCATTGTACAAGCAGGTTCCTGAAAAGAAAATTGTTTCTTTTTTCCAAACGAAGTTAAAATGTTACAGCTTTAGAAAAGCCTCTGATACTTCAGTCTAATTTTCTAATGGTTTTAAATCATAAGTAACCACTAAAATCAGCTATAAAGGAAAACTTTGGTTCTGTGCTATCTATTATCATAACTTCCCTGGTGACTCAGACGGTAAGACATCTGCCTACATTGCAGGAGACCCAGGTTCAGTCCCTGGGTTGGGAAGATCTCCTGGAGAAGGAAATGGCAACCCACTCCAGT